TACAATGTTTCTGACTGACTTCACCATGCATTGTGGTGCCATCACACATGTGCAACATTTCTGACTGACTTTACTGTGCATTGTGGTAGCATCACACATGCACTCAGCAAGGTCTCTGTCATCAAAAAAATTACAGACTGATGTCACAGTTGCTGGATTGGCGTGCACATTTGGAACCTCGTGAATAATTTGTTCTCCACTGTCTCAAAAAGTCATGGACTTGCACAATAGGGATCTGTTAGGGAGGATATCACAGAGCAACTTAACTCGTTCTCCATAATCAGACCTTGGAGCTACCGTTAAATACAGGGATATTGTACTTACCAAATTCTCCATCCCCACTGCTCACCATAGTCACCGGGTCCATTGAAACAGAAGTGTTGGCCCTGTCAGTCACAGGTATCAGACTGTCTTGTAACTCAAGTGGAGAAACATGCGACTCTGCTGAAGAAGAAAGATTTCATTAAAGAAGAAGAAAGAAGACAGTGAAACAGAAGACAATGCATATCCTCCTAAAGTGCTAGTCCTCTAGTTGTCCTTCACAATCCCATGCTAACTTCTTTTGCCAGTCACAAAAACAAACAATCAGCGAAAGTGAGATTTAGTACCGGTCATTAATCAGTAGACAGCTACTGGACTTTCTGATCATTCTAAAGGTACCCAAGCCAAGCCGTGTTACACTTGGTCCCTCATGGTATTGATGTGGAGGTGCCAGTGTTGGACTGGGTTGGACAAATGCAGAAATCACATGACACAAGCTTATAGTCCAACAGATATATCTGAAAACACAAGCTTTCGGAGCCTCAGTCCTTCTTCGTGACCGAGGAAGTATGAGATACAAAATTTATAAGTAAAAGATCAAAGGTTCACACCATTGATGAGGATGTACCAAACAAACCTAAGATGCTGTTAAATTTTTAATCAGTTAGAAGGTTTTCATTGATTAATATGTATATGTAAATCCCTGAAATCCTTTCAAGTCACTGTCCTGAGAGAACTAAACGTTTTATCAGCATAAAGAAGAGGTGACATTTTAGGTCAGACAATGCATGTTAGGTGTGAGATCTTGTTAAGAATCTGTTTGTGTTTTGGTTTGGAGTCAGACTGGTTTTATTTCTAAAGTAGGAATTTATAAAATGCCATATTGACTGACTGTCTATAAATTCTGTACTTTTTGAACAAAATAAACTGTATCTGCAAAACAAATTCATCCCATAGATTCGTGTGTGTGTGTGTGTGTGTGTGTGTGTGTGTGTGTGTGTGTGT